GGAGCCAGGACGCCTGGGTTCTCTCCCCAGCGCTGGGAGGGGAGTAGGGGCTAGTGGGTTAGAGCAGGGGGGGCTGGGAGCCAGGACGCCTGGGTTCTCTCCCCAGCGCTGGGAGGGGAGTAGGGGCTAGTGGGTTAGAGCAGGGGGGGCTGGGAGCCAGGACACCTGGGTTCTCTCCACAGCGCTGGGGGGGAGTGGGGTCTGGTGGGTCAACGCAGTGGGGACTGGGAGCCAGGACTCCTGGGTTCTCTCCCCAGCTCTGGGAGGGGAGTTGGGGCTAGTGGTTAGAGCGGGTGGGGGTGGGGGGTGGGAGAACTGGAGATAGAACCGGGGCCAAATGCAGAAGTCAAATAACCTCTCTACTCCTCCCCGAGCTCCAGTTACATTTGATTCACAGGTGTTCTAATAAATGACTGATCAGCCATTCGCGACTCAAGAGGTGGCTTCTGCCCATGGCTCGGATGCTCCCCCCATTCATTCAGCACTCATTAAGCCCTGCAAAGCCAACCTTAATGTGAAGCAGGCCTGGTTTGCCAGCCAGCTGCTTCCCCCAGGCCTGCTCCCAGGGTATGCTGCGCGCCCGGGCTGGCCTCGTTCAGTGTGGACAGTCACAGCAGGCTCAGAGACAGCAATCACTTGAGGATGAGGACGTCGTTGGGGACCACCAGCGAGGAGCTGGTCCCCCAAACCAAACCAGCTAGCCTAACTCGGGGGAGGGGCTGTGTGTGGGGACGGGAGAGGCGCTAGCTGGAGCACAGAGCCCGGGCTAACCCTGTAGTGAAGAGACCCCAATGAGACTGCCAACCCCCCCAGCCCAGTACTGCGAAAGCCCCTCGAAATCCTGAGACTCCAACACACACACAAGGAATGCTGGGTTCTTGTGTTCTGGTTCCCATTCGCGTCCCATTTTCAAGCTTTCCTCTGCAGCCAGGACAGCTGGCAACTTCCCCTTGCAAGAAAAAAGGAGGCAGGATTCCCCAGCAATAGCATGACTCCAGCAGCTGGGGCTTTAAGGGAATTGGCAACACCGCTCTCAGTCTCCCTCGTACCAGGCCCCGCAGCAGAGACTGTTGGAAAACGGGGGTGCCCCTCCCGGCTAAGTCTCACATTTGTGGTGAAACAGTTGAAAATTTCCGGTGCCTCAGGGGAGGCGTAGTTCAGATGCCGCACGCCCCTTGTTCAGCTCCAGGGGCCCGGCTCTCTGCTTGGACTACATCTCCCAGGATGCACTGCGGTCGCTCTTTCTGCAGAGTCACCGCTGTGCCTCATGGGAGATGTATTCCAACCATAGAGAACACCGGCATGGGACACCCAAACTACAACTCCCATGAGGCACCAGGACAGCATCTCCCAGTCATGGGATGCAGCCAGGTCGGTAACAAACAGGGGAGACTGGGTTTGAGCCCCTGCTCGGCCAGACTTCCCGTGTGACCCTGGGTGAGTCATTTAGTTGCTCCGTGACTCAGTTTCCCCATCTGGGTTCGTGACAGCGAATCCACTGAAGACAGGGAGGCACTCGGATATTGAGGCCATAGAAGCGGTAAAGATAACGAAGCGGAGCGAAAGAGCAGGAAGTTAGTCACCTCCACGCTGCTGATCCCTCATGCCGCGCCCAGACAGATGGATCTGGATTCCCGGAGAGGAGACTTCACCGCAGCCACGGGGGCCGTCTCTTCCAGCCTCGTCTCGGCCCCCTCCCATTCACGGGGGGAAATTAAGTCCCTCCCCCATCATCCTAGCATGCAAATAGCCAGGACTCGGATGGCAATTCATTACCCTAACGAGCGGAGCGGCGGGGCTGGAGCCACAGAATCACACCTGCCATATCACCACCCCCACCGGGTGCCGGGCTGCACACAGCTTGGGC